ATTCAGGCGGGTTTGCTCAGTCACGATCAGTCACGAGTCTCGTGATGAGTGTACATACTCACTCAGACTGACTCACGACTCTGCTGCAAGATACGTACCGGTAGGACAGGCAAAAGCACAGTTGAATTCACGATTCACATTGGCGCGCGGACACTTGCACAGCCCACGCGTGTTCGTCTCGATCGATCGCAGCACCCTCTGTTATTGCGCGCATGCACTCACCTCCCTTACTGCTGCTCATGCAGCGCCCGCGGCCCCCTTGGCTCATGCGGTTCTCACAGCTCGAGGCTAAGGGGGACTTCCTTCCCAGCGCGGGCCGTTTGCCCTCTATATTTTGCCTATTATTGCCTTGCGTTGGATTTGCGCGTGTAAGCGCACCACGTCGCGCGAGAGAGCCCTCAGGGACCCCATGCACCCACCGACGGAGCTGCTGGAGCGTGACGAATCATCATGAAGTGATTGCGCGGTGATGAATGCGATGACGCGCAAAGCAACCACGCTGCGAGTGTGAGTGTGAGTGAAGCCTCGCTACACAGAGGCGAATCAAGCAACCCTTTGTTGCTCGATCCCAAACATCGAATCAGGATCGAGGTCTTGACTGCCACTCCCGCCTGGTCGACCTTATCTGAGTACGGTCACGAATCGCAATCACAATTCACACGCCCCTCCAGTTGTAGCTCATGAGCCGAGTCCCTCATAGACCCCAGACACCACTCTTGGTTATCTTTAACGACCTAACGTTCCATCAGCCGACTAGTCTCTTGCGACCAATCGCAGCCTGACAGCCTCGCCAATTGGCTGTGAATGCCGTCCCGGGACTACACCACACTCACCTCCATTCATCTCTGACGAATCTGCCTCACGCCTCACCCGATTTTACAGCGCTTCGACCCTTGTCAGCCGTTCATCGAACTAGGCTATACGTCTCTGGCCTGGAAGAACGAGCGCCCGACGTCTACGCAGTGACGGCACTGCAGTACGCTACACTGCGATCTTGTGCTCTTTGCGCAGCAGCGGTCAAGCGTGCGCATCGATCCTCATGCACAAGGCAGCTTCTTCCACAGCCTCTGCCGGGGGTCCGAGCTCGACAATTGCTGCAGGCTCAGTCGCGAGCCCAGAGAAGCGTAGACCTTCGGCTTTGGCGTTTTGGCAGAATCGAGCGAATCAGCCGAGCGGACTTGACACACAGCCTGGTCAAGCGTCTGCGGTCAGTTCTGGCTTGCGCGGACGAGTCTCTGAGAGGCAATCAAGCGCCGATGTGGCACACGCGGATGCCCTTGAGGGCGCGTTAGCCCAGCGAGGGGACAGACAAGGTGTCGAGCTTGGTCAGAACACGCCTTCTGGCGCTGCTGGGCCCAGTGACCCTGAACGTCCGACGCGAAACGATCACAGTCCTGGCGATCGGATGCGCAGCTTGGACATGAAGAGAGGAGGCAGCTCTCCGATGCCCACATCCGATCGAAGCGGCAGTGATCCGGGTCAAATCCCCAGCAGTCCGAACGCACGCAGCGCTTCAACTTCTAGAAGAGGCAGCCACGACATCTCCAACAATGCAAGCGCATATCGCCATCTCGACGGCCAAAGTTCCTCTGGGCCTGGAAGATCCTCTTCTCGTCTGTCCCGCTCATACAGCGACACATCTGTGACAGAGCCGGAAGGTTCGACCTCTGGCTCGCGGCGGACCTCTTTGCGAATGAGTGTCCCTTCTGAAGATGGGAGACTCGACGCAAGTCGACCTATATCCCCTAGAGCTGTGTCGAGATCATCAAAAGCGAGACGGATACTTATCAGTGAAGCGCGAAAAAGACAGGAAAAGCGACGCAGCACTTCTCGCAAGAACGCAGAGGACCAGGAAGATGAGCTCGACCCCCGCTCCGATGGCGATGCGGATCTCAGCGAAGAAGAAGGCGCTGACCCGTTTGTGGCAGGCCAGCGTCGACGCTTCAGCGATACACTGGCAGCCGATGCGCAGAATCTGGGTGCGCGCGCAGTTGCGGAAGTGGCCGCGTCCCTTGCTCCTGTTCACGGGCTGAGAGGAGCCAGCGCCTTAGACGTTTCACGGTCTTTAACACCTGGGGCAATGTCCAGCAGCACGAGGTCTTTCCATGATGCGACCTCGAGCCCAGAAGGCAGCGTGGGGAGCGACAGCACTGCAGATAGTTTGCAAGATCGCTCGATCATGGTCGAAGCGCGCTCTACTCCTGTACAGCACTCGCCATACGCAAGCAACGTCAAACGTCGATCTAGAAGGCATGTGGAACGGGAGAGCGAGGAAGACGACTCGGGAGACGAGCGGCCAGAGAGACTGTCCCCCAGACCTTCGGAAATGACTTCCTCGTCGACTCTGCGTCAGGATGCCCTTGATGATGAGAGGGACTACCGCGAACACTCTATAGCTTCAGCATCTCGCACTCTTCAGCAGACCATGTCAGGCGACCCTCTTCGACCGCACGCTGACGAAGACGGGCACGCGATGGCTGAGCAAGAGCAGCTGCGGACTCCACCATCGCGGAGTGACAGTGCATCGACAATATTTGGCTCTTCCCTAGCTTCTCTGTCACCGCCGATGTCCCCCGACGTCTCGACCGGTTCAGAGTACAGCAGCTCCAGCCGGAATCTGCGACATACTACAAAGAGTGGAGAGGGCGGCCCGCTCTTGCGGCTCTCCAGACACGCAAATTTGCCACCGCCTCGACCTTCTCCAACGTTGCCGCCTCCTCCAACGCCTTCTACCGCTACTCCTCGGACCATTGTAGCTGCGCAGCGAGCATCTCCGTCGCTCTTCGACTCTTCTAGCGATCCACTGGCACCCGCGAGGTTGCGCAGCCAAAGCTTAGGACACGCAGGCAGTAGTCTCGAGCGGCAGAGCGGTCCGTTGCTCTTGCCTTCAGACGCACCACTTTTGACTGCCAACGAGGCGGTCAGCCGATCGCAAGGTAGTAGCCACTCTAATCGAGCCCGCTCGGGAGCAAAGGATCATCTGATGTCCAGGACTTCGAGTGGTGGATGGCGTCCTGGCATTGCGAGCAGCTCTTCCAGTGCAGTGCACCTGCCTCCAACTAAAGAAGAGGAGCTACCTTTGGCATTGACTACGGCTCCGCTGCCATCTACATCACATGAGCAGACAGAGGAGCGCACAAGCCTCGAAGGAATCCCAAGAGCTCGGGGCAGACCGAGAGGAGCTACCATCGGTGCTCTCCCTAGTGGTCAGACTGCTGGCCTGGGTTCTCGGTACACTGCACCCGCTCGTACCCGGCCACGCTCAATGCTTGCGAATGAAATCCTCATTCCTGGCGGACCCGAGAGAGCCGGAAGCGGCAGTGAGACGGGAGAAAATGCGCTTGAGTTGCCTTCAGACGCGTGCGCGTCTACAAGCTCACGCGGCGACGCGTCCGGCGTCAGCGCACCCAACGGTTCCTCGCAGTCGCGCCGAACATCTATCAGCACGCCAAGTGCCGCAACGACGGACACGAGCATCGGAAGCAGCGACCCCAGTGCGAATAACCTTCCAACGTTGGATTTCAGCTTTTCACGCATGCCAAGCCATCCGGTCGAGGCGGGAGCTCTTTCTCCAGTCGTCACCACCCTCAACGAAGCATCAGGTAGAAGCTCAAAAAGCAACAGTATCAGTCACAGCGCCGACGAGCCTGCAGAAGGACGAGAAACGAGATCGATGAGCATCACTTCGGAGACTGCGCGAACCCAGCCACTTCCAGTCTCTAGCGCGGGCAACGGGTACCACACTCCTTCGAGTATGATCAGCGGTGGACGCAGCCGAAGCGGCAGCACCGCCAGCCTCCTGCAACAAGTACAGCACCCGCGCTCGCACGCCAGCTTCGTCATTGCCGTGGTGGGTCACGCAGGCTCGGGCAAGTCGACTGTCATCAAAAAGGGTCTGCGTCAATTTGGCCTGTCCAAGCCGCAAATTCTTTCGGAAAAGATCGCCTCACATTCGACGCTGTGCATTGTGGACCAGGAACAGCGCACGATCGAAGTTCTCGAGATAGATGCCATGGTCCTGCTCAATGGCCCGAACAAGCGCTTTGCGTGGCCAAAGTTCCTTCCGCACATCGATGCTGTCATTCTTTGCTATGATGCGGCACACGTGTCGTCGTTCCGAGGAATGTCCGAATTGCTGGGTGAGTAGCTCTGAACTTTGCGACCACGCAGGGTAGTGAGTGCCGATGTTCACTCGACGCTACATGCCCCACAGAGAATTTTGCGATGCAAGAAGTCTGCACTGTGATGCTGGCATGCAAATCAGAAATCTTCCCCAAGAAGGTGGATCCGTACTACGCCTCCGACATGGCTGCCGTGTACAATGTAGGCCTTGCAGAGTGCAGCGTGCAAAGTGAAGAGGGCAAGAAGCGGATGCGAGACTGCTTTTCGTACCTTGTGAAGGAGGTGGCGAAAGCGCGAGGCAGCCGAAGGTCCAATCCAGACTCGCTGGGTATGGGAAATACCAACCGCAGCTACTCGGATTTGCCCGCGAGTGCGTCGATGAGCTCATCGGGCAGCCAGCACACCAGTCCTGCACTCAGCTCCGGCGGCTTCTCTTCCTCGGGAGCAGCCGACAACAGTCGCCTTGCTCGATCCGTCCAGCAGCAGTTGCACGTACAACAAGGGCATGCTCACAATGCTGCGCGCGCCGGCAGTACCCGAAAGATGAGCGATGCGACGGTGGCTTCGATGGACGCGCCGTCCTTCGCTGGCAGCCACGACACGGAAGACGACGCTGCATTCCAGCAGAGCATCTCTAAAGCGCAACTTGGACTGCAAAGCGCCAAGTCGGCGGGTGGCTACATTAGTATTGAAGAGCTGTGGGAGCGCCTCTTCGTCGGTGCGGTGACGGGTGACGGTGAGATGTGCTGCGAGCTTGCAAGTCGAGCAGCAGCCAAACTAATCACTTTTCTCCCCATCTACCAGACGAGAATTTCTTGCCCATGTTCATGACCTTCTACAGAGGTTTCGCACGCCCAGTCGAGTTGCTGCGCCAGATCATTTCGCGCTTTGACAAATTAGCCGAAAGCGAAGCTTCTGATGGCATCGTGCCCCGCTTCTCTATGATGCGGTAAGCTGGACTGGTACGAAAGCAGCAGCGCCAAAGCCATTTGTCTGACCTGATTCCCCTCCTCGTCGTGCTACTCGTAGCTTGACTGCAATGCTCGGAAGCTGGATGCGAGAATATCCTGGCGACCTTTCAGGCTCAGAGACCTTCGCTCAACTCTGCGAGTTCTTCGATCGCTTGTTGCGCCACACCGCCACGATGCACGTTGCCGCACCTCTGGAGCCCCTGCTCGACACTGTGCGCCTTTCTGTGGATCCCGATGCCGCATGGAGCAAGAATCAGGACAACGACAAACCTCGTTCTGTCGCAGCCGATGTGCCGCCCGTCAGACCCAATCTTCCTGCAGGCAGAACTGGCGCCAGCAACGACAGTGCCGTGCACGCAAACGTGGCACACCTCGCCAACGAGTCGTACCAAGAGATGAACCGGCTACGAGCCTACTCGGACAGCTCTGGCAATAGCGCACCGCTGCCAGAAGCTGCTGTCTCCGGTGAAAGCAACCAGCATCTCTCCCGTCCAGACCTATCTTCGAGGCATCGCAGCGCTTCTGACGCCACTGAATCGAGCGAAGGTCAGCGCAGCGGAACTGGCAGCACGACGACAAGCTCCAACTCCATCCCGCGCCTACCGGCAGCACCGAGTCAGGAAGCCATTCAGAGCGCCCCATCTCTACATACGCCGGCACCATCACTCGTATCGCCATCGAAGTTGTCACAGTCAACAACCCCTTCGACGCTCTCGAAGATCTCTTCTGGGCCGCTGGAGTCATCAGAGGGCCTTACTGGGACACGTAAATTGGCGCTTCGCAGCGTATCTAACGCGCTGTGCGATTTGCACGAGGATTCGATCGCTCAAGAGCTCACTAGGATCGAATGGGGTCTGTTTTGTGCCATTCGACCCCGGGATCTGCTGCGTCACATTCTAGTGGCGAGAGAGCTGCGAGCGAAAGACGGACCAGTCGCTCGATCCATTGCCCACTTCAACTACGTGTCGTACTGGGTCTGCACCATGATTCTGATGCAAAGCAAGGCGAAGGTTCGCGCGAAGATGCTAGAGAAGTTCATGAGGGTGGCATCCTTGTTGCGGAACGTCAACAACTACAACACGCTCCATGCTGTGCTTGCTGGTCTCGGCAATGCCTCAATACATCGACTCAAGACAACTCGAGATCTTCTCAATGGCAAGCCTGTCATCAAGTCGTATCAGAGTCTTGCTCGCTTGATGGGCAGCGATCGAAGCTTTGCTGCTTACCGAATGGCTCTGGATAATTCTGCAGGCCGTACCATCCCGTACCTGTGAGCACCCTTAGAAGATTTGCGCGCCCGCGCAAGCTGACCTCACTTCGCTTGCTTTGTGATCACAGCGGTGTGCATCTGCAAGACATCTTATCGACCTCCGATGGCAATCCTTCGAAGCGCGCCAATGACGGCATGATTCACTGGCGCAAGTTCAAGTTGATGGACGAAGCAGTGCAGGCTATCACGCGATGCCAAAATCACGACCCGCCAGCTGGTCGGAGCAACACCATGATCGAGAAGCTCATTTTGGACTTGCCAGTATTAGACGACGATGTATTATACGCTCGGTCGCTAGCTGTCGAACCACGGGCATCTGCGCATGCTGGCTCTACCCTGACATCGAGCAAGATCAAGGAGTTCTTCCACGCGAACTGAGATCGGCGCGTGTAGGACAATTTCAGCATTTTCGACGGGCTTTGAGTCCAACGTGCGTGAGCCAGGGCTCCACCAAGGGCGCGCGTCGCTCTCAGCTCGAACGTAATCACTCCTGGCGACCATCCTTCTTCCCTTCCTCACCTCCTTCTTAACCATGTTTTCCCCGCTTGCTTTTGTCACGTCGCTTTCGCCGATCCTATGTAGCCATGTTCTGCAATTTTTACCCCATCTCGCGTCCTACCTTTGGTACATTTCTTCGCAATCAAGTCAAGATGGACCGACTGATCGCTAGCGGTGTGCAGTGGCTGCGTAATCACGAGTCGTCACGATTGAGGCAGCACCACGCAACATTCAGCCAGCTGGCCAGCAGGGCCCCACGCGGCGCTCCATCAAGACTTGTTGCGGTATAGGTTCAGCGTGAAAAGAGCAAAAATGCGGGGAAAAAAAAGGGTTCTCAAAATTCAAGCTCACGATAGAGTTTAAATTTGTAACAAGCTTGCGAATTCAATTTTGTATTCGGAGGTCTTTGGGCTAAAACAAGCAGAGACTCACTCACGACTTAGACTGCTCGTGCACGCTTCCAGCAGGGAGCCGCGCTGTGATGTGGGCAGCATGCATGATGCGCGTGCATGCGTGCGTAGCTTGATGCATGACGTCTTTCTCTGCTGACCTCTCCCATATCCCTCTCGCGATCTCTTCGGCCCGGCTCTCGCGTTCTCGCGCTCTCCTGCTGCTTCTGCCCGCTGGTACGCGCCCGCCAATCCCGAGCGACGTTCCCCATCCACGCAAAAGATAGAAGGTCGCTTCGCCCTCCATCCATCTTCTGCATCTGCGACACTCCTCCGAGCTTCGACATTGTGTCATCGCCTCTGCAGCCTGCTTTTTGAGCCGGTACTGACCATAAGCAAGTATAAAACTGGGGAAATTGCACCGAGCAGAGCAAGCTTTGCATCGAAGTCGCCATAGTCACCGCGGGCACGCATGGCTGCCCTGGATTTGCCGGTGAGTCAAGTTTCCTTAGACATCGCTAAGAAGCGATTGGATCGAAGCATGCAGAAGCGCTTCCAAGTCCCGTGATCACCCTGTTCAGCTCCTCACCTGAACACAAACCGCCATCCGAAGCGGTTTAGACTGACATTTTGCCGTTACAACGACGACTTCTTGCAGCTCAACGACGCTTACTTGTCGGCGCTTCACGAGACGCGCAACTTGCGGAAAGCAGAGGCGAGAAGGTTGGCAGCATTGAGAGCGGCGGGAGATATCGGTGAAGCTGGAACAGACCAAATCGACATGTCCAACTCTAACCCTTCGTCTCCCAAGCTTGGGGACGATCGCTCAGAGGCAGAGGCAAAGGCAGAGGGCAAAGGCGAGGCCCTCGCAAATCAGACGGGAGCCGAAGCCGGGCTGATTGGAGGCAGCACAGCTGCAGCTAGAGGTGGTGCGGCTGGATTGGCAATCGCAGCAGCTAGCCCTGGAGATCTCTCCATCTCCGACACTTCAGTACTGGCTGGCGTGCCCACGCCTCTGCTTCGACTGCTCGTCCTGCTCTCTCCAGCCATAACTACTCTGGCAGAATTGGTCAGACTGGCCACGTGGACTGGAGGGCCCGGCACAGGGTCACACAGCGTTCTTCTGGTGCTTTCTTGGTGGGGCGTCTGCCTCTACGGTTATGAGGTGCTCAGGTACGCACCCCAATTGGTCCTGCTCAGCGTGATCGGCTTCGCTGGTCTAAGGGCTGCGGTGCGAGGAGAGCTAGGAGCGCAAAAGAAGCGCACTCTGCCAGTCACGTCTTCCAGTCTCAACGTCGTCTTGGCGGATCTTTCTGAGCTGGCCGATTTCTTGAGCACCGTTTCGGGCCAGGCTGTGACGCCCTTCCTGTCCTTACTTTCATGGCGAAGCGGCAACAGCGCAAACACCCGCAGGCTAGCCATCTTCTTGATCATTACTTGGCCCGCGTGGCTCATTTGCTTCTCTCCTGGTCTCTGGGATGCCTTCAATTTGCCGCGCATCGGACTTCAATTAGGACAGCGCGTGACACACGCCAGCAGCACCGTCGCATCTCGTGTATGGCCCCATGCTGTACGCAGTGCTATTGCGATCGAGGCGCAAGTATCCAGCCGTGTTTCGGGTCAAGCTCTGGTCTACTTCATCAAGTTCAAAGAAGCCTTCCTGGCAGCTTTGGTCTACTACAGGCTTCATGTGCGACCCACGATCCTGCACGTCGGAGAAAACTTGCACCTACCTCTTCTAGCTCCGAAGCAAGGTGCTCACAGCGTGTCCGCGCTGGCACTTCTTCCTCCCTGGCCTCTCTTTGCGCTCTCGCTTAGACATGCGCTGCTCACGATCGGAACGATTGCCCTGACGTGGTGCGCACCATGGGCCGCTCTCATTCGACATGCTCTTTGGCGCAGCGCCACAATCAGGCGTTCTGTGCTAGGCTTGCTTCGAATTCTCTCGGGCGAGCCCAGACGAGCCTTCGTCTCCGGTCGTGTGGCATACACAGGCAGATCGAGCTCGGAACATGCAGTGGGAGGCGATGACTCCAAGGATGAGCTTAGCGTACCCAGCTTCTTTGCTGCGCCTCGCATAGGCAGTGCGAAGAGCGCAAAGGTCAATCTCGATGTGACTAGGCATGAGGATGTAGAGTATCAATTCACCATCTTCGAGAATCAGAGATGGTGGGTGGGATTGGACTGGACGGCTGCCCTTCTGCCGCAAGAGAGACCCGCTTGGTGAGCGTCGCTCGTGATGCTCGTGCGTCTGGGAAATACATCATCCGCTGACGAGTCGAGTTGGTTGCTCCTTGCAGGTCTGACGAGTCCAACAGCCCAGTTTCGCCTCCATCCTCATTCTCGCTTCCACCCGCTCGCGTCACTTTGAAGGCATCACCGACATCTTCCAACCCTGCAGCATACGTACGACGTCTGGTCAAGTGGCAATGGATCGATCCAGAATGGACAGTGGCAGGACGCGATCCTCTTCCGGGAAGCGGCGACTTTGGTGGCAGCGCTTCCGACGAAGGAGCTCTAAGCGGCCTCCGAGCGGGACGTAGGACCAGCAATGCTTCCAGCGGAGATCGTGCCAGTGATCTACCTTTTGATCTAGCGCTTCTGGACGTCGATGCTGACGGATGGCAGTACGGAGACAATGCGTGGGAGAAAATGTCTCGCAAGAATCAAATGGGCAGGTACACGCGACGTCGAAGATGGGTTCGAAGAGCTGTATTGGTGGAGTTGGTGGAGCGCAACTATACGCCAACAGCGGCTGAAAAGACTCAGGTCGGTGCGAGCGGTGGGGTGATCGATGTCAGTCCTGGATACTTGCCTGTGAGCGCGGGAGGAACAGGAACGTCTTTGGCGTCGAGCTCAAGCTCGGGAGCTTTGGCGCGCATCGACGAGTCGAAAGAGATTGACCAATCGGACGACGCGCTCATCAGCCCTACGTCTCCCCGAGGAGATCTCAAGCAGAGACTAGCACGTGCCGCTGCATAGTCCGTTCGTGCTCCTGCAAGCAAAACGCGAACAAGAATCAGATTGCTCGTGGACACAAACGCGTCGCATGACCACCGTGATTCGGCTGCAGTACCAGCAAGAATTTCGCCACGACTCATCCAGGCGCGCTTCACCACACGTGGCATGTCTCACACCTCGGAATCGCAAATACAGCCAAGAAAATAGTATTGATTGAAAGCATGACGTACATTGACTTTTCCCTTATCGCATGTCGCCAGTCGACTCGAGGTCGGCATTGGCTCGATGCAGACTTTCGACCAGCTGTCTTCCCGACAATTGCAAGAAGCTAAGTCTAGTTTTGTCCATCTCGCCATTGCTATCAGCTTGCTTGATGACGACTTCCAGATTCTCAAGCGCCAGCGTGATCAGTGCCAAGCCTTCCTTGACAAGCACTTCCCTCTCTGAAATACCCAACGTCGAGTCTGCAGCCCCTCCAGCTTGACTTTGTCGCCCGGAGCGGAAAAGCGGGATGCTGCGAGTTGTGCTCCTACTAGGGTCAAAGTCGAGCGTGCGGCGCAGCGAAGCAGGTGGAAGGTCCAAATAGTACTTGAAGTGTCTGTACAAGAGCGTGATGAGCATTTCGACCGCGTCTGTCGCGTGCAAGTGAGGTGGACATCGTTGATAAGCTGAGCCTGCCGTGGTCTTAGACAAGCTCACTGTACGCACCAAATTTGTGGAGCACGGACGCTCGCAAATCTCTGCGTCGGTGCTTGAGTTCTCGAACGCCAAGACTGCGTCGCTGATTGGCATCGAGCTCGACGTTCGCGGCATCGAGCCTGAGCGCATCTTCAACGACCTACGAACAAGAAACGAAGGCTCCAGGTCAGCACACGAGGGTACCTCGATTAGTGTCGCGCCTTCTCACCTCATCCCAGTATTTGAGCTGGACAGCATCCACGTCACTCAGCATTCGTTTTGTGTTTTCAATCGTAGACAGCTCATCGACCAAAGCAGCGGACGATTCTTCTAGAGCGGAGATAGCAGCTCCCAGACTGGGATGTGTCGTCGAGACTCGAGGCCTTCTAGATCTTGCATCGCTAGCCTCGACTCGCAAGACGGGCGTGAGAACCGGCCGAGCCGTGGTAGCGAGTGCAGATGTGTCTGACGCGCTGGTGCGAGGAAACGATGCGTGCTCCAGGTATGCCAAGAGTGAATTTACGAGCTGGGAGACTGCGCGACGAGCAGCAATGCTATACGCCGTCTCTTCGTCGGAGTCCTCTGCACCATCTGTACCTCTGACAAGACGACTGGCCATCTCGCGTTCCTCTTCGCTGTGGGGCACCACTCGTTCCAACCAAGCTGAGCTGGGCAGAAACCCTGCAACCAGAGCGAGTACCGCGCTATGGAAGCTGAACAGCGGAGAGCTGGCTGAGGCCGCTAGAGATTGATTCTCGTTTTGGCAAAATACGAGTAGCGCAACGATCAGTTGGGCTTGATTGATAGCTGCCAAACTTGTAGCTTCGTTGAGTGGTGCCTTCAAGACGATTGCAAGTGTGCTGCTATGCCTTTCCAGAAATAGGAAGGCTTGACCAGAGGCCGAGAAGATGCTCGTGGAGTCCCCGATGGTGGACGCTTTCGCATTGGACACAGAAAGAATGCTAACGCAAAGCTGCAGCGCAGGCGTAAGAAGAGAATCGAAGCGCTCCATCGCTGCCGGCAAGAAGCTGTCCATGTCGACGAAGTCTTGGTCTTGCTCGGGTCGGCTCGCCAAGAAGTCGGTCTGACCAAGCATATCAAAGATGCGAGCATCTACAAGCTGCTCGGCTCCAGCTGCAGTCTGAGCGAGGCGTGTCAGAAAGCCCATCTGCGCGGTGTACACGTATAGGATGTTCAGCGACGTGGGGTCAGGTCTGAGCACGTCTTGCAGAGGCAAGTCCATCTCCTTCAGGCTTGCCACAAAGGAGCGCAAATAGCCGAATCGCTCAAGTATCTGTAATGCCTTCGTTCCTGGTGATTGATTCCTCGCACCCTTGATTCCGGCAATCTGGTCGCATAGAGTGAATGCGACAGTACGCCACAGCTCCACGCCATCGAGCGCATCCCGTGCAACGATCGGGATCAGCCTGTCGAGTTGCGAAGATATCATGCCATGCGTGCGCTCTTCGACTTGGGAGATCTTGCTACTCTTGCTATCCCAAATGACCGATTCCGGGCCTATCATGGAGATTGTGTCATCAGCTTCGATTGCCGAGCCCATCGTGCTTTCATCAAATGCGGTGCTTTGATGGACCCGATTGGATGGACCTGACTTTGCGGTAGATTTGACAAGCTGCAAGAAGTTGATGAGCGCGGCGTAAAGATTGCCGCGACTTGATGCCGTAGTTCCGGGTCGGACCAAGGCGGCAAGAAGAGCGCGCAGCGTGGCCATCAGACGGTCCACAGGAAGTTCCTCGGAAGCGTTGAGGTCCACAGTAGAAGTCGCTGCAGCAGATTGTTGATGCTGGCGCAAACTCGTCAAGAGACCCAAGACGGCGCCAGCAGCCAGATCATTACGCGCAGTATCTGCATCTGCGCCTGGATCGGCTAGTAGTGGCAGTACCGCGCCCAAGCAGTCGAAAAGCACGAAGGCCCGAGCTTCGGCTCTGAGGAGATGCACGCAGCGTGCCAGGATCATATCGAGGATGTGGCGCCACGCTTGCATAGACTGCAAACGAGCTGTTGTTAGCGCTCGAAGTGCATTTCGAGCGTGAGCATAGTGAAGAATGATGATGGACTCATCCTCCAGAATAACCCTCTGTCTCGCGTCGACCAATTCTCCGCGTCGCTCGATCTCTGTTCGAGCTTGAGCTAAAATGCCGACGACCGCATTAAGATCGAATTCTTTGGTCTCCGCAGCCGAGCCGCGACTCGCGGCGGGAGAAATGTCGAGTGCTGCGAGAACGTTGAGACTGGCAATGTCTTTTTCACCATCATCCTCCCACTTGAAGTCCATTCCCTGAAGCAGGTCTAAAAGTCTTGCACGCGGCGTGCCGTCCAGCTTGTGTTGCGAGTTGAAACCACCAGGCAACAAGTCGGCGTCGTCATCGTCATCTTGGAGACCCGCTTCAGCGACACCCGCACCAACGACTGCTGAGACACCGCCCAGCAGCACGGCGAGCAGACGCGTAGCAGGTCCGATAAGAGCAGCGTTGCTAAGGGAGTGCAGCTCGATGGCAGCGCTATCAAGCAGATGAGCCTGTATGCGAAGGGAGCTCGTCACAGCGTTCGCCGAAGATCGTGCGATCATTCCGTCGGCGAATCGCAGGTCACCGCTAGATTCGGCCACGTATTCGACGGCTTCGGGAACCGATTTCAGTGCTCGCAGCTGCTGCACAAAGAAGTCGTTGCGCGATCTCAAGAAGCGCAGAGTGGTCGAGCTGGTGAATGGGTGGCGACAAAGATTGTGTAGGAGCGCATAGCACTTTTCCGCAAGGCGCGGTGAACGCTCCACGAAGCCAATTTCGCCTTCGCGTGCGCGGCCCACGAGCGCGACGATTGCCTCCAAAGCCCCACGCCCCTCCAAATCGGACCGATCGAGCAGCTGCACCTCCTCTGACGTTCCCGCTGTCGTCAAATCGAAGCCGAGGAGGACGTGCGCTAGGTTTGGGCAAGGTTGAGTCTGAGCCGTGAACGTTTGCAAAAGGTCCAGGATGGACGACGCGATGGCATTCCTGGTGTTGCTTGTCGACGGATACTCCACGTCGTAGGAGTCGCCGCCCGAAGCTTCGAGAGCATCAGCAGTGTCGGCATCGTCCGGATCTCCCGTCTCGAGGGCTTCCAAGTGCCCGACGAAGCCCGCACGGACCCGAGCCGATTCGCCGACCATTTCCAACAAGCCAACAAGCCTGTTCATTCTGCCCACGTAGCTCAGGCGTCCAAAGCGGTCCACGGCAACAAAGGCCGGGCTCTCAGCAATCTGCCGAAGTAGCCTGACAGCCAAGAGGACGATATCTTGACGCTGCGGGTGCACGTAGAGCGCGACCTGTACCACGGCTCGGTGTTCGTACAGCAGAAGAGTGTCCAGAGGTGTATAGGCACCAGGCTGTCCCAGCCTGTCAGCAGCTTTGAAAGCTGCAAGCTGCGCGCCCTGGTTCGAAGCAAGCAAGTCACTGCAAGCGGGCAGAAGGACTTGCAAGAAAACGTCCTGGAGCTGCATGACGCGCTGAAAGATGCGCAGAGCGTGTCCGACGCATTGAGCCTGGAAGCCAGCTCCGGAACCTGCGGAATTGAGCACTTCGAAACCAGAGTCGTCCGACGGGCAGATGACCGCGAAGAGCTCTTTGAGCAATGTGGTGTTCGTGAGGAGTCGTTTGAGGATGGAGAAGCCAGGGTGGAGAAGCAGTTGCGCTACGATACGCGGCTCCAAGACCCCGCTTTCGTCGGCTTCAAAGAGGGGTGTCAGGTTGTAGCAAGCAAGACACCGCTCCACAAAGCCTAGCGCTTTTGCTTTGAGGCGCAGAGCGTCGACGGGAAGAGCGAACTCGCCCCGCGACGCACCGAGAAGTACCCTTTCGATGACGAAGTGGACGTAAGGGTCGAGACCAGGGGAGCGGTGAGCTTGGCCCAAACTGACGACAATTTGCTCCAGAGAGGCTGCTTGACCTTGATTGGAATTCATTGCACCCAGCGCCGAGGTGACGGTGGGCGTTGCCGAAGCGATTGGGGCAGGTGTTTGAAGCAAAGCCTTGAGCAGATCGACGAGAGCCAAGGTAGCCTCGAAATTTTGTGTAGGCCTTTCCTCCCGCTCGAGCACTTCGAGCGCACTGGAAGCAGAGCTTTGCATCTGGTTGGAGATGTTGCTCTGCCCAAACATACCGGTGCCGGCGGTGCCGCGCTCAGAGACGATGCGCGCCCTGAGCGCTTCTTCTGCAGCCTTTTTGTCGCCCACGACCTGATGCGTCTCGAGCAGCTGCCAGATGTCGGCAGCAATGCGGCCTGCGCTCGGTCCGTCGGGTCGAGCGAAAGAGGTCAAAGCCCGAAGGGTGGAGGCTTTGAAGCCAATCGAAGTGGGGCACACGTAGAGGTTGAACAAGCGTTGGAGAGCAGCATACCCAGTGTGCTGATATAGAGCGTCTCGTGCCGCCACGCTGTGGTGCGCGACGTTCCGAAGCACACCGAGGAAGGATTTCAATAAGATTTCGTCGGCCCGCTCCACTCTGAGCTGACTTCTAAGCACGCCACCTCTAGAGGCGCTGAGCGATTCCTGAAATTGGGTGTAGGTGTACTGCAACCAATCGAACAAGCGAGCCCAGGAAAAAAGACGTGGGTCCCCGACCCCATCTTCCGACGAGAGAAGGGTATGAATCTGCCAGGCGCCTTCAGTACCTGATGCTAGCGAGGCAACCATGTCCAACATTGCTCGCCGGTGACCATGCTGTTCTACGTCTATCGCCCAGCCGAGGAAGCGGGTCGCCCTCCCATCCGATTCGACGAGAAAGCGTAAGCCAGCATCTGGTCGGCCGCGACAGAGCAAGCTGATGGAGTCGAAAAGAGCTTCGATGTCGTATCTTTGCGGGTCACTTGATTGTCCGGGCTTGTTCTTCGAGTCTTTGAATCCGAATTCTGCATCTTCTTCGGCGCGTTGAAGTCTCCGGAAAAGCGGCAGGAATAGGTTGGTGATGGAAATCAACAGATCTTGAACCTGGGTCAGCACGTATTCTTGGAACTCGGCATCTATGGCGCTTTCGCTCATCCCCGGAGCCAGAGTCGCCAGCGCTTCCGTGCCTTCCTCGAAGCCTTGCGAAGCTACAAACGCTGGTTGTCTGAATGCTAGAACATACTGAATTACGAAGACAAGTGCATCGCCGGCCATTGGCGCTACTGTGGCGCTTCTCGAGGTACTGTTGTAAGCGGGCCCGCCAGCAATGGCTCCAATGACCAGGGAGGTGATCTCTTCGTCTTGAACTCTGATCTCGTTTGAAAAGCTCGGCATCGCAAGTAGTACGGACCACTGTAGAAGGACGACGCATCGAAGTTGTGGAAGAGTCCAATCCTTGGCAGTGATCTCCTTGTGCAGGGCCAGCGCGGATTCCGGGTGCAGATCGGGGTGCTCAGTCGCCAGTACCTCGAGGCAACCAAGCAATGATGCGAGAACGTAGATGACCATGGCGTCCTGAGGGTCCTGTTGCGAACTCAACCACCTTGTCAGGGCCAGGGTGTGCGTAGGAGCCAAGCGTCGCGAAGCAGAAAGCAAATACAGCAGCTGACCGAGTTCTTGACGCTCCTGCACGATGAGGTCGAGTCGCTCGCCGATGCTGTTTTCCGCCTTGAGGGCTTGCAATTCTAACTTTGTGGCATCAAGCTCGATGAGGATCCTTTCGGGCAAAGTGGTCTGCGTCTTTGCTGGCCGGCCTGGTAGCGCAGGCACATCGATTTGCGTCTCTACAAGGTCCGACACGAGCCTTTCTATGCGCGCACCAACTTGCTGAGATGCCGCGTCTGCTTCGTAAGCCAAGGTCATGGCAGATCGAGCAAGCTCTTTCAAGCAGCCAATGGCAGCTATCCGCTCGTGGTGATATATGAGCAGAGCAGCTTCCACAGAGCTTCGTCCATAGCGCGCTCTGCTTTCGAATCCTGCTTGCAAAAGCGATGCGGCGTATCGCTCCGACACTTTGAGAGTGGAGGAAAGGTGAAAGCATTGCTGCGCAAAGTCTTGATTGACGGTGTGCTTGGTGCCGTGAATGGTGACATGCCCTGCGAGAAATGTGACGAGCATGAGCCAAAGCGGGTGCCCATACAAGTGCGCACAGGCCAAGAGTCACTCACCAGCTTGCAGCTCCTTCTTTTCGGCATCAGAAGGTGGTCGAGCGCGGCCGAAGTTGAGAAGTTCCGAAGCGTGTCTGCCCACGTTGATGAACCAGTCATGGTTCGCTGCGCCCCGCTGCGGACTTGCAATGACAGCATTCAGGCTTCTGAAGAGCCTCGCAAACCTCTCTGGTGAGATGGAGGCCGAGCCTGGTGGCGTTGTTGAGGCCGACATCTTGCGGGGCTGGACCTCCGATGAAGGTGCACGTCGGCGCGAAGATGCGCAGGTGCCTGCCCAACGTGAACGAGAGCTTCCAGGTGCTGGCCGAAGAAGTTACTGGGGCGAATGTGTCTTTGAAGGGAGCATCAGCGCGAGCCGATGATGCGGTACGTACACTGACTCGCAACCTGTGGCTCTAGATGTTGGCACAGCGATCAATTTGCAATTGGTGCGCGAGAAGAAACGTCGAATCCAGAATCAAGAATGCTGGTGGATTCACGATTGCAGCGCAACTGGGCGCGCCCGCGCGGCCTGATGGAGTGCTGCCCGCACGCGATTATTCTCGCGTCCTGGCCAGATGCGCTTCTCCACTCACGTGACGCTGCACGTTCAAACACATATCGTGAGGTGCTTCTTGGGCAACGACCGTCTTTGTCGCCTCCAACTCTTGAATTTTGAGTCATGAATCACGAATGTTGCTCCAGTCAAGAGCGTGAGTGTCTCCTTGTCTGATCGCACGATTCTGCGCGCGCAATCTGGACGCTTGGATCTGATGGCTTCTACGGGTGCCGATTGCTTCTCTGCAAATCACGACACAAGACCTTGCAGCAATCCTGAGAGTCACACGTTCAATCGCAGCAAGACGCCATTGTGCTGCGCCAAGCCTGGTCGCCCTCAATGCCGAGCTCAAGGCCGCCAATATGGCAGACGATCGGACTGTGTATGTTGCTCGCTGTGCTCTCCGCCGTCGTTTTCTCTCTGCAATTCGTATCCGCTCACATACGCAACACCAAGAAAGCCAATAAATCAAGGCGGAGGGAATTGCTGGAGCGTGCCGGAATTACCGATAGAGAGGAGAGAAACAAGAAGACCATTGTCGGCTTTTTTCATCCTTACTGGTGAGCGAAGAGCTCTTTGACGCACATCATGCGGATGTGTGAGAGTAGCGCACGCTGACTGCGATTATTGCATCTTCGTGTCTAATCGATCACGCAGCAATGCGGGTGGTGGCGGAGAAAGGGTGCTCTTCCAGGCTCTGCTGCATCATCTTGAAACACATCAGGACCACGTACTGGTGATCTACACCGGAGACGTCGGCATCGAGAGCAGCCTGAGGCACTTGAATCGTCCTTGGAACGGCATGGGAACCGCGACACCCGCAGAAATACTTGAACGCTGCACCGTGAGTCGCCTGCACTGCCAGCCTCCAGCATTCATGCGGGGCCCGACACTCACCTTCCAACAACGACTGTGGTATACGATACAGGCTCGCTTTGGCATCCCTTTGTCGACTCACCCACGCAGGCATCACATTCAGTTCCTGCCGCTTAAATCCAGAGCCATGGTGGGCGACTCTTATTGGAAGCGGCTCACTCTCCTCGGCCAGAGCTATGGAAGCGTGAGGATGGCCATTGAGGCGATAGGCGAAGTGCTGCCAGACGTTTGGATAGGTGAGTGATGATGGTATCAAAGGTGTCTGAGCTGCATTCCTGACGCACACACGCGCGCACATAGATACGATGGGCTACGCGTTCTCCTACCCTACGGTGCGAGCATTCAGCTCGAAAGTGCGGATCGGAGCATATACACATTACCCAACGATTAGCACCGACATGGTCTCGCGAGTCGCGCTGCGCAAAGCGACTCACACGAATCCTGCAGGTATCGCTTCGAGCGCGCTCAAAAGCCGCCTGAAGCTGGTCTACTACCAGAGCTTTGTCTGGGCTTACACTAAAGCTCTTCGTTGCGCTCATGTCATTGTCGGAAATGGCAGCTGGACCGCAGCACACCTGAGCAACCTCATCGGATCGACACAGCAGGTTCGCGTCCTCTACCCTCCATGCGACACTAGCCGTCTCACCAAATTGTCTCTCGAGTCTAGACAAGCGCGCACGCTTATCAGTCTCGGCCAATTCCGGCCGGAAAAGGAGCATGCTACTCAATTGCGGATCTTGAGAGCAACACTAGACGCCAACTCCAATCTTCGCGAAGCTCAGAATCCTCTGCGGCTGCTCATGATAGGAAGCTCAAGAGATGCAACAGACGAAGCGCGCGTCGAAGGCCTCCGTACCTTGGCCAACGAACTGAAGCTCACGCACGCTGATGGCCCTGATCATGTCGAATTTCTCGTCAACGCGAGCTACGACAGCTTGATCAGCTCACTGGGAACTGCCAGCATCGGCATCAGTACCATGGTGGATGAGCACTTCGGCATCAACGTCGTCGAGTTCATGGCAGCTGGGCTCATCACGCTTTCTCACGCCTCGGCAGGTCCTCTGTTGGACATTGCGGTGCCAGACGAGCAAGGTCGCAGGACAGGCTACCACGCTCGGTCGGTAGACGACTTTGCTGCAACTTTGCAAAGAATCCTCGACCTCCCTTCTGAGGAGGTCATCGCTATCCGCCAAAGGGCCAGGATAAGAGCGTCGGAGACCTTTGGAGCCGACGCTTTCTGCGAGAGGTGGGAGCAGATGATGTGGGACAAGCTGCGCCTCGACTCGTCGACCAGACCCAAGGTTCAATAAAAATCGGTTTTATCAGTACTCGCGATGGTTCCTATCCATTCCTTGGGGCTGCTTTCAAGACCTGCTATGTAGGTAGTCAACGCTCAACTTAACGTGGTCTGCAACGCCACGCAATTGTGTTGGTACCCCGTGCCTGATCCTCCAGGCGCACTAGAGCAGCCTCCTCGACCGTGGCACGCAAGGGAGCGCTGTTAGCCATTAGATCGACGCATACCAAGGCCTCGGTTTCTGAGGGGCGGCGCGGTGCGTCGCCGAGCACGTACGTGGCCTTGTCATGCTCGGCCAAGTCGCTCAAATCAGCCCACATAGCGTGGAGTGGAGCATTGATTGGTCTTACCGCAGCAGCACTTGTGTGCGGCCCCCTCCGCGCTCACACGATGCTCAGACTTGAGCGAAAGTACAGGCCGCGTACAAAACTGATATTTGCGGGTATGGGTATGCGTCCACGTCCCTGCACACCTGCTGCTTCGTCGATGCGCACCCACCAGGAACGGGCTGAATTGAACTCAGACTTGGGACCTCGGTATGTCAATCATAGTGAGTACTGCATGCAACTCCAAGCAGCGGGCGCGCCAGCGCAAATGACTCAATCACGCGGCTGACGGCCTGCGCCGCCTTCTGTTGGAAGCATCTGAGTGCCAAATCGTCAATGCTGGCTGCGCAACATGGGCGATGAGCCGAGAGGAGCATTTTGAGGAATACCGGTCGAGACAATCACGGCCTCAAATTGGAACAACTGCGTAGCCGTGCGTATTGAAGTGATGACGCCTCTGCCTCCCTCCCTGCACTCGTGACTCCACGTTAAATGCTCTCATCAGAGTAATCGATCTGCATATATGGCATACGTATATCAGTATGCGAAGGCAGACCGACCGCGGACCCCCTTAGACGCTGCATACCTGGGCCCGTTCCATCCAAGTGAGCTGGCAGCAAATCACAATAGACTTCAGCCCGGCCGTGTTCACAGGTCTCCTCTTTTCGCCACTGCTCTATCTCCGCAAAAGCTTCCTCCTTTCGCCCCGTTGCGCTCTCAAAGCCTCGCAGTCCGCTGCACATTCATCGTCCAGTGTCATATACAGACCCAAGAGTCGGCCTCAATAGGCTGAGGCGATTTCAAAATATCGCAGCGCCATATTATGCAAGAAGGGCCGATCAATCCTACTCCACCCGCTCATCCCGACCCCTTTGCCTCGCTAATCCTCACTGCTAAGGTCACCACCTTCCCTTCCCAGCACTCTTGACCTGTTCCACCTCACCACTTCGACGCAGCGGTCTAAGCAGTTTTCCAGCCGCCTGCTCGGCTAGGCGCTCTCTTTCAACCTCACTTCACTCGGAACGCCCCGCATCCATTCCTCTTCAAAAGCAGCGTCAGCAAGACGCCTTTGCGGTCTATCTCGGCTGGCTACCACAGCTACCATGCGAACTTTGCCGGCCCTATTCCCAACCACAACGTCTCCTTTTGGAGCCCTAGCAATCTTTGCGCTTCTTGCTGTGCTCGCCAACGCAAGCCGGGCTGCCATTGTTCCGACAAGTGCACGAAGCAGCAAGGTGCTCAGACACGACAGGAATGACCACCTCTCTAGGCGCCAGCAGTCAGAACCGCCGGCGTTGACGGAAGCTCAACAGCAGGAGCTGCTCGACAATCCCCTCAACCAAGCTTTGGCGAGGACGGCTCTGCAAAAATGGGGACCTGCTAAAGTTCCTCCATGGTTCAAGAAGCTGCTGAGCCCGGAAGAGCTGGCTGCTGCAGGTGACCCCGATGCGCAGGCCGCCGTGGCAGCCAAAGCGGCTGCTGCGCCTGCACCTGCACCTCCGGCTACGGAACAAGCTCCGCCTACGCCCGAGCCTCAACCAGTGCAGCAATCACCGCCACCTGCGCTCGAGGCCCCAGCTGAGCCAACACCCTTCCCAAGTACGCCATTTACGGGGCCAGTCATCATCTTTCCCTTTCCCTTTCCTGAAAGTGTCGGATTTGAGGGCAACGGCACAGAGCTGCCTCAACGACCTTTGGCAGTGGAGTCGAACAAGCTCCTGAACACCAAGACCGCAGTGCAGTCGAACTGTCAAATTGGCGCAAGCTCTTACGAACGACGTTGGAACCCTACCGATGACAAGGATGGCACATTCTATATTTGGGACAAGATGGGTTCGCTTTCGCCTTATCAAAGTAGTCGCTTATTCCCAGAACTTCAACAGTGGAGCGGCATCCCAGACAATTGTCATCTGGAGAGCGTGCAGCTTTTACACCGAAGCGGACTTCGTCTTCCCTCTTCAGCAGGCACATTCGGTGAGAACCTGCAAGAAGTTGGTCGAATGCTTCTCAAGATGAATCACCAAAAATCCGCCAAAGGCGCCTTGAGCTTCTTGAATAATTGGCAGTACAACTTGGGATCTGACCTCCTTTCGGCAGCAGGCAGACAGCAAATGTTTGACTCGGGCGTCGCTGCTTTCACGAGGTACGGCAAGCTTTACAGCCCGTATAAACCGATCCACAAACCCATCATCAGGACCGCCAGCACGAAGGCCCTTTTGGACTCTGCGAAATTTTTCAACCTGGTGAGCACACCGGCGTCGCCAGATTGCGCATTGTTTGACGAGCACACTCTCATCATCGCATCGCCCGATTTTTGTTCTCAGGGCTTCTTCGGCATCGACGCTCCCGCGTTGGTCAACCTGGAGGTTCTCATCGACTCTGCTGGCTTCAATGTGCGTGACGTCTTTTCCCATCAATTCGCTTCCCGATGCTGAGACGATTTCTCGCGCTCTTTCACAGAGCACCTTATCGCCATGGGGCGCCTGCCCCAACGTGATCAAGTCGCCAGTGGGCGACCTCTCCTTGGCACCTCGATGGATCGAGCAATACACCAAGAATGCCATCAAGAGGCTGCAGCCGCTGATGCCGACAGGGACGCAACTTACACCCGAGATCATTCATGGGATGCAATCGCTGTGTGCTGTCGAAACTCAAGCACTTGGCTACTCGGATTTGTGAGTGACGCGAGAAATGGGCACGTCCCGTCGAATGGTCAGACTTACGATTCCGATCTACACGAAGCTGTGGACTCTTCACGAAAGCAGGTGCGTCTTCTCCACCTGGCACACGAATTCTGTTCGAGGCAATGCTGACCACTTTGGTCCTTCCGCGTGATCAGAATGGGAAGGTTTCCAGTACGCATGGGATTTGCGTATCTCGGGCAACGCGGGTCCGCAGAGCACGACGGGTCGAGCTCAAGGTATTGGTTGGGTGCAGGAACTCTTGGCTCGATTGCAGGGGTCGACGGTGCCACCTCCCATCACCTCGCAAAACTCAAGCCACTCGACCTTACCATTATACTTTCCTGGAGACCAGTCCTTCTACTTTGACTTTGCGCATGACGGTACCATCGTTGGAACTCTCATGGCACTCGGCTTTAAGCAGGTGAGCAGCGCCTGCATGACGTAGTGGTAGAGGAGCTTCTCTTCAGATCCAACGCTGAGCTTTGCGCGTTCGGGCATGCAGTTGTCAGAAGATCTAGATCCTGCCAAGATCAACTCCGAGCGCAAGTTTTTGACCTCGTCCATCGTGCCATCGGCCGCAAAGTTGGCTGTTGAAGTGTTGCAATGCGCAGCACACAAGAAGGGTGGCGCTCCAGAGAAGTACATCAGGGCAGTCCTCAACGACGCCGTCTTGCCAATGGGCGCCGAGCAGGGATGCACCGATAGCAGACCCAATCCAACACTGTGCAAGCTGAGTGAGTCCCAGAGAAGAGAAGAAGCAGAGTCCGTCTCGCTTGCGGTGCCCCATTGTTCATTGCTCTGAACCCCATCAATATTTCTTTCATTTCCCACCCGCTCAAAGACGACTTTCTTTCCTTTCAATACGACCACGCTATCCAGGCCGCCAACTTTGATGCGGCTTGCAGAGGAGGATAATTCGGCCACGAATTGTCGAGTTGTATTGTTCACTTTCTATAACATAAGACAAACCGTTACACATCCCTTGCGCCGCGCTGAGGGTTGCGCTTTTCGTGGACAACATTGCGCGCCTACCTCTTCCCCCCGCGTCCATTCGTGCCCGCTCGCCTCTTGCTTCCCGTGACCCCCATATTACTCTTGACCGTAGCCAATAACACTCCTTTGCCTTCTCTCGTCCCTGAGCCACGACATTTGGCGCGAGACAATCAGTGAAGCGTCTGTTCTTTGCGATTTCCCCAAACTCGCTGATAAGACGGCTTGTAAGATTGGTGCCAATAGATTCACGTGAATTGTGTATAATACATGCTCAGCACGGTGCGCAAGTTTCGACTCGAGAGCTGAAGGGTGGTATTCTACGATGCGGAAACAAGCGCTCAGCTACGCAAGAATCTGAGAATCTCTTCTTTTCCCTTGTGGCGCATAAGCTCTCGAACCGCTAGCAAGGAATGAATCTCTTCTGGCGAGACTTTTGCGTCCAAAGCAGCTGCTCCTACCGGCGAGGCTTGCACTTGTTGATCAGTGCCTCGAGAAATTAGCGTCTGGACCTGCTGATCTTTTCCCAGAGGCGGAGACACCTGTACCTCTTGATGCGCAAAGCCGTCCAGAGGCGCAGCCGCACCATCGTGATTCCTCTTGGACCTCTTCGCAAGGCCTCGCTGCGGCGTGCTCGCGACTGAGTCTCCACTCAAGTCACCGTTGATGAGCTTGCGCTTGTGCGGTACGTGGCGATCATGACTCGGTGTCGTTATGAGCGCCGCTGCCGCTGCGGCCCCGGCAGCTCGCCTGGGCGTCGAGCGCTGCGGTGTGGATGGTGGGACGTCCGATGATTTAGCAGATGATCTTTCGCCAAAGCCCGCAGCTTCCAGCATCTCTTCAAGGCCATCTCCCATCACTGCGCCTAATCCGTTGATGCGCAAGCCTCGCCCAGCTGTCCACTCGACCTTGCTGGATTCGCCGTTTGTCAAGCGGTCTACAGCAGAGTTGGAATCTCGGACGAGCGGCGCCGACTGCTTGACAGCGGCCCCATCGTCAATATCGGTGAGAGGGCTTTCGGAACGTTCGTGCTCCCCGCGAGAATTACGATTGCGCTGTAGTGTCATGACGGCTTGAGCCATTTCCTTGCAAAATGGCGCCGGCACGGCTTGAGGGGTGGAGCGGACGCTCGACTCTTGCGCATCAGTGCGTGGCACGGGAGAGCTCAAAGCCTGGAGGAAGATCTTAGGCTAAGCTAGGGAATACACCACAAGTCGGCAGCACCCTCAACACGTACCTCAATGGCAGATTGATACTTCAAAGCAGGCGGTGGTAGCTCCTGCTTGGCTATCTCAGCCAGCATTTGCAGCCCTGAATCGGCAAGTACACTGAAAATACCCAACTGAGCTGACGTCCTATCTCAAGGGAGTCATGAAGTAAAACGCAAACTCACGTATGCTTGTCCCGAGTCCCTTGCAATAGAGCGCGATCGTGCCGGGCCCGCTGCCAAAAGTCCAACAAGATGACGCGCTCAGGTATGCGCAGCTTGACCTTGTGTCCCAACTTGTCCACTTCATCATCTTCATCGACGTCGACATCATCCAGCATCCACGCGTTGCTGCTACGTCTTTTGCCACTCGATGGATCGAAAATGTCGTCCAAGGGATCCGGAATGATGTCTATGAGGCCGCTGTTGCGGACACGTGTTCGGTAATGCCTGCCAGGACCGATGCTAGCTGCAGATGGCACGGGCAGATCGACGACCTGTTGCTGTGCCGCGGTGTTTTTTGGCACTCGAGGCGGTGGCTTGTGGTGCAAAGGAAAAATCAACGCAAAGCCTCGAGGAGTCTTCGCCCCCCGTCGTACTTACCGTCGCTTGGTCGACATGGTTCGGACACATCCATTTGCGGGTCTCATGAGGCATGCTGATCAATGGTGGATCAACGCAATCAAGATGCCAATGCAAGGGGCAAAAATCGCAGGATACGATTCTACGCCAGCCCTCGGCGTCCCCCTTCCCTTGATTGTTTGCCAGGGCAGCGACGACCTCGAATGGAACTGCTCTGAGCGCTTCGGCTTTAGCTTCCGATGCGACCCGGGGAGCCTTTGCGCTGTGCGATGGTGCTTCAACTAGATGGTGTGACGATCCAGCACGCCGTTTCAGACGCTGCGGCGATGCGGTCTTGGCGCTCTCTCTTGCATCAATATGAGCATGCAGAAGCGCATCTCGATCTTCCGGCATCGCAGACCCTTTGCAGTGATAGCAGAGTACCAAAGCACCCTGCTTGTCTTTGAGCTTGTAAGGGTCCCTCTCATCGATAATGCCCGCCTTGCTGCTCCGCGGCGTCAAGAGAGTAGTGAGCACGAGTTCGGATCGGCAAAATCCATCCCGCGTCAAAACGACTCACGTGATTCTCAAAGGCCGCACGAGTGCAGCATTGAGATATGAGCCGTCAGGGTGCGCGGTCACTGCAGGATGCAAGTGTATGAACTATGTCAGCATCGCGTCCTTCGTCCAAGACTTGTCGGATATCTACCCACCGCCTTTGAAATGACCGCGAATGTCAGCAGGTAGCACAAAGTCGCTCGGATTCTCGCTGTCAAGTTTCTGCAGCAGCGAGCCAAACAAGCCTTTCGCTTTCCTTTGTTTTCCTCTCTGCAGAATGACAAATGCGGCCAGTGTCAGCAATGAGAACTGACGAGGAATGCTGTCGTGGGAGGCTCGATCAGAGGCTGAATGAGATGAGCAGCGCACCAGCCACCCGCCCCCGGTGCTCAGATTGAGCTCGAGCCTTGCTTGAAGACTCAAAGTGTCCCTGCCGCTGCCGCCTGCTGGTGGTCACCAATTGCCAAGCGCGCCTCTCGCAGCCGAGACTCAGCAGCAAATTGCGCCACGCGTCGCGCCGCGCCGCTGGCTCCCCGAGTGCCCGCTCGCGCATCGGCCGTGGTCAACAACACGCGCGCGTCTTCACGTCCTGCCGCACGAGCACAGCCAAAGATGTGCGCCTCAGCTTGCTGTGCCAGCAAGACCCTTCGCCACCTGAAAGCTCCGCGAGCCGGCACCTCCAGCAGCCAATTCGCGTGCCTCACCCTGAGAGCTCTGCAAACGTTGCAATACCACGCTTCGTCTGTGCTCGCGTTTGTCGCAACGCCATTGGGGGTCGAAGTTGCAGGCTTTTCGTCAATGTCCAAAGGAGGATTCAAGCAAGCGAAGTGAAAGGAGCGGGCTTGCAAAGAGAGAGAGAATGAGGACAGTACCGAGTGAGCTCTCAGTCGTCGACTAATTCGAGTCAAGCGTTTCTCGCTCGAACTCACTGCATCCCTCGCAACAGAGTAGATGACCAGATCCAGCACAAGTTTCACAATGCTCGTTGTTCGGCTGGAAGAGTGATCAGAGGATGTGAAACGGTTCGAAAGCGCTCTAAAACAAATCAGATGGGTAGCGGTGCCAGGACTTACCTCTTGATGATCTGCGCTATCGACTCCGCGTGGGTGAACCAAGATGGTGCTTGAAGCGCCCTTTGCACCCTTTGGGCTGACAGGACCTGATGCCGAGCCGCTCAAAATCGACGAAGCAGAGCCTCGTGGAGCAGCGCTTCCCGAAATTGAGGGTTGTATAGCGCCCGCTTCGCGTGGCAAAAGCGTTTCAGACGGGCGCGTCGAAGTGGTGGCCAAAGGTTCTGGCTGCTTGAAACCCCTTCTGCGCGAATTCATGAAAGCTGTGCTGGCTGCTGCTCCCGCCAAGCCAGCAGCTCGAGCAGGTCTTCCGTGAGGGCTGTTCGCGATGATAATATCACCGACGGGCGCCGGCGACGACTCTGTGAGATCAGAGGAGGCCGCCGACTCTCTATCCTTCCTCATTGGCTTGCGTTTTTTGCGATTGTCCCCCTTTGCGGACGCCACATCTATACCGCTGTCTAGCGAACGCATGACGAGATTTGCCTTTTCATCGATCCCTTTGGTCTCCACATCCTCCTCCAACGCCACCGTATCCTCAGACGCAACCGAAGCCCCATCTGCTGGACCGCCTACATCGCTGGCAGTGAGCTCAGACACGCTTCGAGCTAATCGAGGAGCGGGCGAGGTGGTCGAGGCCTTGTCGTTACTGTGCTCGTGCTCGGGGAGCGGAATCAAGGGCACCGCAGGGGAAGCGTTGGGCTCCGACTTGATCTTGACCGCGTCATTGCCTTGTCCAGATTCTGTTGGCGTCCCATTCGTCCTTGTGTTTGGTTGCGCTGGCAGTGGCTTGACCCGATGAGGCCGCCCTTCTCTGTGTATGCTGGTTGGAAGGGGAGGAAGATCGGCAGAGTCAGCGCATGTCTAGCTTCCCATCGAGGCTCGCTTTTCCATCGGTAGCGATACGAACGGCAAGCGCTTATGGGGCTTCGAAAGCGGTTTCTGAAGTGAATAGAACGTTCCGTCGACTATTGCTCTCAAGCCGTCCGGAATGGCCGGACCTTTTCTGACTCGGCCTTGTTCGTCTACACTCAGAATCATCTGGCGCGAACCATTCGCGCCGGAATGAGGAGTAAATGAAGTAGGTGTCAACGAGGTCGCGCCCGAATTCTGACCCTTTTTCTTGCCCACTGGCACATGCGGTTCTGGGGGTGCATCTGGTGCCAAGGGCGGGTATGCCGGGTCGTTCGGCAAAATTGGTGGCGGAGGCAAAATCTCTGTCTCAAAGCCCTCGACTGCAGGTATGTCAAGTTGAGTGTCCCACGCAGGGCGCGTAGGGCGCGCAGGAGCAGATTCTGACGCGCTTGCAGCGAGTCCCGAAGGGGACATGGACGTATTTGGGGCCGCTCTTCGTGCGACGTAATCCGGACTTCGACGGGGAGGAGGACGAGGATAGGAGCGCAGAAAATCGTCCATGGCGCTCTTCCTTGCTGGCGCTCGCGGGATCATTGGCGGCGCTCCATTTGATGTCCAGCCTTCTTGTTCGGTAGCACGTGAGCGCATCTGAGGAAATGGCCAAGAAGCGCCGGTGATGGGCCCAGGTGCGAGTACAGAAGGCATCGTGGCAGAGCTGCTCGGCGAAGCGCTTCCGGGGGACGAAGTCGACTTTGTGGTCATTGCTACCGATCCGATAGAGCCGGGCGGAACTGGTGCAAAAGGCCCTTTCCTGATTTGACCACTCGACCGGTCGGATGTGGAGTCCATAGCTGCTAGAGATTGCGCTCTGGCTGTTCGATCGGACGCGCTTGACGAGCCCACCAATGCTTGGGATGCAACAGCGCGTTGCACTTCGACCGCGTTCGGCTTCGCCAACCCCGACCCGGATGGTGCAGCTGATGCCTGGGATGTTCCAGACATGGCGCAGGAATTCGCCTACTTATAGAGTCCAAGTATTCTCAGCAATGCGTACCGTTTTCACCTTTCTAGTCAAATCCCACCGAGCGAAATCTTGAAAGGAGAAGAGCGCTGTCCAAGCTTCCCTCTCTTGCCCTTTGACGAGGATGTGATGGTTGAATGTCAAGACGCGTCTCGTAACTTTTGGAATCTGCAAGGGCGCGCGCGCGTCGCTCAATATCGTGCGGGCGGGCGTGCGTGCGTGCCGCATGAGCAAACTATAAGCGACGAGCTCCTGCATCCTCGAGATGGGCCACGGCTTCGAGTGCGAGGGGCGCACGCGGCTGGGGTGACGAACGCTTCCGCGGACAGTCGTGAGTATATACAGCCACATTGCTTCCCCAATCCTGAATGGAAGACCGTCTAAATCGTAAATGTGAACAAGGGCTACATATTGTACAGTCTCTACTCGTGACTTCAAAACTATTCACAACTCCGGAGCATGACTCAAAGATGCATGCGCCCAATCAAAGCATGCGCAGCTGCGAGCGCGATTGTGATGCGGTCAGTCGTGAGTGCTGCGTGGCACCGCGGTATCGCAGACCAAGTCCCCCACCCCCCTGGCAATCTTTGATGAATGTGACACGAATCGCGCAGTCCTGCCCTACTCAGCTCGGCAGTTTTGTGAGTTTCGTCGCACCAGACTCGCACACCCGCGACCCACTTATACGTCAGCTGAGCGCTCGCTACGCGTCGCGTGAGACGTGGGCGCCGTTCGCCACTCGTGTTTGATGATGGCTCATACTCAACACCGCGCCATGAATGATGTGAATGTGCTTCAGCAGCACGTCAATGTGAATGCAGCTTTTCAGACGCAGCGAAAATGCGGTCCTCGCCCAAACTCTTCTGCAGCGCGCCTGACTGGAGGTGCTATTTGGGCAGGACGGTCATACATCGCACGTTATCGCGTGCGGAACGCATATCGGGACTGCTTGCTTCTCGTATCGCAATCGAGTGACCCAAAAGGTAGCATTTACGATTGTAGAAGATCATTGGCCTCAAGCATCCTTGTCGTGCTGCTTGTGAGCCTTCTGGGCCACATCA